AGCTCCTGACCCTTCGTTTAATCAAGCTGAGACACGTACCAACATTTCCATTCTTTAAACCTAGTCATTACCCAGGCTGCAAAATAGGACACAATGCAGTATCACCTCTCTTTGCAAGAGAAAGATCTGCCTTTCTCCAAGGAGGTAAAACACCAGGAGCAGAGTCAGAGCGCTCAGACAGAGCGATGTTTGGGAACCTCAGCATCTCAGGTCACCCAGCCTAAAAGTTCAACTGGGACGCATCAGTCACTCTCTTGCTAACAATTTTCAGAGGGAAGACAGAGGTATTAAGTGAGAAACCTGTGGGCTGGAGATCTGAAAGCAAAAGCCTGAGCTTGCCTTTCAAGCAGCACGGCCAGCACGCATCCCAGTGACCAGAAGGACCACCTAGAGGTTTGAGCAGACAGTGCAGACTCCAGACCAAAGCAAACATCACTTCAGGGCAGGCTGAAGGCTGAGAGCAGGAAGAGCAAATGGCCAAAAACCCCTGGTGGTGTTGCAGAGCTCCGTGGGACAGCAGTGCTGACTGCGCACCAGGCAGCATTCATGTCCAGTGCTTAAAACATTGAATTCCCGCCCTGCCATGACGTGAAAAGATCTCGGGATACAGCTATGAAGTGTTTAAAACAACTGGTACAGGTGAGCAGTGCTCTGCACTACCTTCAGGCGGGCTGCCTATACTCAGATCCTGACCCACTGCTTTGCAATATGATAGGCAATAGTTTGGGGAGCAAATAGGAGGATGGTGCTCAGCTCTGGAGCTCTGGAGCAGTCCTGTTGCTGAGTGCATCCATTGGGCCCCAACTGCTGTGGATCTGAACAAGATTTCCAATAGTCTGACACCAAAGCAGCCTACATCCAGTGCTGCTCCTGATTTACACACCCCAAACGGTACCGAACGCTGTAACAGGAGTTGTGTGCACACAGAGTTATACAATGGGGCTGCCACGAAATGCTGCTCCTGCCTCCACCCAAATCATCACGACGCCCACAGCTCTATTCAGAACTAGAAAATCAAGCTCACCTCAACTCCCGTCTCTAGTAAAAAGCCTCATAAATTATGCAGCACCAAATGGGAGCGTTTGCTTCTCTCCCAGCCAATAGCAAACCTCAGGCAGCTTCAGTGGAAACAAAATAGAGTTTGTTAAGTTTTCTAAGTAAATGTGCATTCATAACATTGAGCTACCCAGAAACAACTCAGCAGCAGCACAGCTCCCTTTCCAGTTCTTCCTCCTATTCCAGGGATGGAAAGGAGCCCTTCCCCCACCAGGAGTCACAGGAGTCCCAATGACACTGGGGTCTTACAAACAGCCACAGACAGGGAAAGTGCATCTCAGTAGATAAGAAACAATTAGGACCTATTTTAGTACCAAGTGAGGAGCAAATCAGCAATTAAAAGCCTCCCCGGGGTAATTATGTGTGAATTCTACCTCTCCTGTTTTTCAACCATAGCAAACAAAACTACAAGGCTGTTAGGAATAAAACGAGGCAACTGCATGAGAAGGGCCATCAGTGCCCCACGAGATGCTCCAAGAGCATCTTTCCTTCAGAGAGCTTCAGCAGCAGGGGCGAGTCCTGCAGCCCAGCAACTGCTTCACTCTGCAGCACGTTTGGAACGGTTACAGGAAGAAATACAGCTAACTACGAGACAAATATATATATATATATAAATGGCATACAAATGTTTCTTCAGTGTCATAACAGGATACAGCAGCAGCAGGCTGATCATCCTTCAGCAGCCAACCAGAGCCTGCAAATGGCTGAGCTCCATCCCAGCTCAGCACGCCCTTGCAAAGCACACAGCCCTTATCTCGCCCCGCCATGCGTGGCGGGCTGTGGCTGCAATGCCCCAAGGCAGCAGAGTGGGGCAGCCCCACCACAGCACACAGCCCTCCTCCAGACCCTGGCAGCCCAATGCTGTACCCTCCGTGGGGATCTCAGAGTGCAGTTCAACCTCAGCTGCAACCCCAGCACCAGAAATGCAGCCTAGGTAACGAGACAGGAGCGTGGGGCCGAACTGAAGTGGAAACCTGCATGCTAAGAGCATAGCAAATCCCTCCTACATCCAGAGTGGAAGAGCAGGGGCTCTGTCAACCCCTGACCTACCTGAGATACCTGCTGTATGTCCCCTCAACAGCCCTGTTTTCCCCTCCTCAATTAAAGACCTCAAGTGCAGATGCCCACCCCAAGACTTACTGGCTTAAGAGAAATGCCTCCCTCTGAACAAACACGGTGCAGCAAAGAGGATATTAAACTAAGAGGGTGTAAGTGTTTGTAAACACGAAGCGTCAGGGCAGTGAGGCTGCAGATGAACTGCGAGATACGGCCTGCTGGGCAGCGGGTTTACGAAAAGCAACAGCTGAGAAAGTCAAAGAACATCCTGAGAGAAGGGGAAGTGAACGTCAGGGCTCAGAGCCCCGCACTGCTCACACCACCACCATCCTGGGCCACTTTCTGCTCATGCACTCATTTCTAACCTCTAGCACTACTTTACAAGATCACCTTCCTCCAGCAGCAGAGGAGCTGATCAGGAATGGCCTCTATCAGATGCTTCTCCATTGGCTTTGCTGAGCCTCGTGATGCTCTCAGAAGCCTCAGCATCTGTGGGCTCTGTGCTTAACACCTGGGATTCCACCCAGTGCCCAAACACTCGCTGTCCTCCAACCTTAAGATGCTGCAGGAAGAAGAGGTAAGAAGAAAAACACTGCTTTGGGTAACAGAGCCCCACCTGGGGAAACAGCACAGCCACGATCAACACGAGCTGGGTTTAATACCCAGAGAAAACAATTTCAGCAGTTTTAGACACTGAGATCCACTGGGAAAAAGAAGAAAACACCATGAGACAAAAAAGAAACCATGTTGATGAGAATACCATTCATCACAGCACCTCCAGAGAAGCACTAAGAAATGGCCATTTCTGTTTTCCTCCTGATTTATGTGTACTTTACTGCCATACATCACACCACCTCCAAGGAGACACAACACACACTAAGGATGGGACAAATGCAACCTGGGCGATGGGAGTGCCAAAACCACATAGCCCATACAACGTGGTGTGAATGCCATCTCAAAGGGGTGCACAAGGCAGCAGTCACTGTCTTAAGCAGCTATATAAATCTAAAAGCCAAGCATGTAAAGCTCACGTGGAGAAAAAAGCAGGCCTGCACTGCCTCGTTATGCTCAGAAAACCTTTGGCACAGATGCAAGCTGAGTTTTGTTGTTATGTTTTTAAGGCAGTTCCCAACCTGGCTGCACCAAGGAAGGTCACTGATAAATAAAGAGAAAATTAAAGCCATCATATGACTTGTGTGGCTCTAATGATACCAGAAGCTCCGGGTTTATTTATATTGCACCTGCTTTACATTCCACACTTGAGAGCCAGACATAAAGAGGCAATACAGATGTTGGGCATAAGAGGAAGGAAGCTTTCACCGACACAACAGCGACTGAAAAATGCCTCCACGCAGACCCTGCACAACGCTGTGGGAACACAGAACAGGCAAGCAGAGGCACAGGCACCAAATCCAGCTCTGGAAGCTGCATCAGGGAATGAATGGACAGCAGGGCTGAGCTCCCCCAGAGCTGGGGGCTTCCTGGAGTTGGGAGCTGCCCAACACTGCATGCTGGGGCTGTAGAAGCAGCTCCTCACCTGGCATTAAAGGTCCTCTGAGCCAGAGCCCCCACAGAGCACCAAACACAAACATGCACTGCACATGACTGAACGCAAAAACAAAAGGAAATGGAGACTTTTTTTTTCCCCTTCTGGTCTGTGCTCCGTTTTCAATTTGTCTGTTCCAATCCAATAATGGAAAGTATTTTGTTGTTACCAACAAACAAGTTCAGCTCCCCATCCTCACGCACCGCTCAGCTGCTCTGGCTATGAGAATCCCAACGCTCCTCTCGGTGCCCTGCAACCTTACACACCTGATAGCACCCTGCAGCTCAGGAACACACACTGCCAATATTCATATACATATGCTGCAACAAAAATAAAAGCCTCCAAAGTGTTTGGTTGTTTTTTTTTTTTCCAGGTGATCTCCTAGGACAAAACCCATCAGAAGAGATAAACGTGAAGCTTGGATGTGGCTCCCAGCTCACCACAGCTCCCCATGGCACCCACAGCCCCATCCCTCTATTGCTGGGGAGGCCACGCAGTGCCCAGGAGGTACTCAGGAACTCAGGCCTTCATCCCACACATGTTCACACCAAGCACAAAAAGAAACACAGTGAAAGGGAAACTCTGCTTGCAAGTATTGAAAAATACAAGTTGTTGCAGCTCCTTGACGTAAACACTCCCATCATTCTGTCTCAGAAGTGCAACAGGGGTTCCCCACTGCATTTAAGCTGCTTTCCTCAAAACAGAAAATGCATTTTTCCACCTGCTCCATAGAGAACCATAGAATGCAGGAGGGGACCCAGGGCTGGGCAGTGCAGCCTCACCTGGGCTGACCCCGGCTGCAGCAGGGATGGCTGCACATCCACAGGCAGCACCCAGCGCTGGTTGCTGCGATGCTATGAGATGCTGAGCGAGGAGCTGGAATCACAGAATCACAAGGTTGGAAAAGACCTCCAAGATCACCCAGTCCAACCATCCACCCATCACCAATAGTACTAAACCACATCCCTCAACACAAAATCCAAACGTTCCTTGAACACCTCCAGGGTCGGTGACTCCATCACTCCCTGGGCAGCCCATTCCAGTGCCTGACCACTCTTTTGGAGCAGTAATATTTCCTAACGTCCAGCCTAAATCTCCCCTGGCGCACCTTGAAGCCATTCCCTCTACTTCTATCACCAGTCACACGAGACAAGAGGCCGACCATCAGCTCACTACAACCTCCCTTCAGGTAGTTATAGAGAGCGATAAGGTCTGCCCTGAGCCTCCTCTTCTCCAGCCTGAAGCAGCAGGACACGAAGCACGTCCCAAAGCAATCCCTGCAAACCCACTTTCCTGTCACCCGTTTCAAAGCCCGAACCGGGAGAGATTCCTGGGTACTGACCTGTCCGTGGTCGCGGGCTGTGTGCCACTCATTGGAGCCTCTGCCCAGAGCTCGTGCTATCCAATTTACATGGTACGACCACGGCGGGGCTGTCAGTGCGGTTCGGCTCCCCGCCGCAACCCCGCTGCGGGGGGAGGCGCGCACTGAGAGAAGCAGTTCAGAAAGGAAAAAAAAAAAAAAAAGAAAAGAAAAAAAAAAGGAAAAAAGAAAAAAGAAAAAAAGTAAAAGAATCCCAAACTCTTCGCGCACTCAGAATCCAACCCGCGGAAGTAAGCGGAGGAAAAAAAACAAAAACTTCAGCAAAAAGCCAAGAGCCGCTCCCCGCGATGCCCCCCGCGAGGAGCAGCCCGGTGCGCTGCGCCCTGCAGGCCGCTCGGCTCAGCTCAGCTCCCGCCGCCCATCGCCCGCCGCCGCCCGCCCCGACCCCCCGCCCGCCGGCGGCCCGAGCGGGGCGGACAGGGCGGGGGGGTTTGGGCCGCTGCCCGCCGCCGCCTTTAGGCCCTCGGGGCCATGCCCGGCCCGTGCCGCGGCGGGGCGCCGAGCTCCGACGTCCCCGGACGGGATGGCTCCGTTCTCCTTTCGGCCTGCGCGCTGCGGGCAAAGTCCTGCCGCTGCTGCGAGACGGAGAGCGAGCCGCGCCCCTCCTGTTCCGGCTGGGAGCGGCGCGTCCCGGCGGAGCTGCGCCGAGCGGGGCCGAACCGCGACACCGACTCCTCCCCTCCGAGAGGCGATATCCGCTGTATCCCTCCGCCTGCTCCTGCGCAAAGAGATCCCTCGGCGCAGTCGGAGCGATGTCTCCGCTCACGCGAAGCGCTGAGGGTTTGGAAGCGGACGGCTCGGCTTCTATCCAGACGAAGCCGTCGGGCCGGGCTGTACGCCGTGCTTCCACCGTGCGCTTCGGGGTGAAGTTCCGCTTCGTGGTGCTGAGGATGCCGGGATGCTCGGACCGGCTCCTTTTCCTCCTCGGAGAGAAGCGAGCAGTCCGGAAGGCGGAGAGCCCTTTGATGGGTTTGTTGTTTTGGAGAAGTTCGGAGCAAAGAAGGGAAGCGTGGGATGAAATCATTTTCTAAATGGCACTCGATGGAGACACGCAGAGCATCTGCGCTTCCTTTCCTAGCTTCCTTTTGGGGAAGAAAGAGGAGAAAGACAGGAGTGCCGACATGCATCCAGCAGTGCTGCGGTTCCGTATCCACGGCAGCTCCCTTCAATGCAATAAATCCCTCCGTGCCTTTATCCTGCAGAGCATCCGGACAGGGCATGCAGACCCACCTCGCTGCAGGCATTGGCAATATCAGACCTCAGCGCTTCTTTATTGCTTTAGTTCTATTTTATCGTGTGTGGCAAAGCAGTGACGATAACAGTTAATTGGAGGATATCCTAAAAAGGGTGATGGGAACAAGCTCAGCAGCAGCAAACGGACATAAAACTCAGCAGAGTGATGCTGATGAACATCGGCCAAAGGATCCATTCCGTGTCGTATAGAAGAAGCACTGTGTAAAACCACAGCCATGCCAAGAGGTGTAAAGCCCTCCCATCACCTCGTCCAGACAAACTCCTGCTCATTATGGGCTGCATTTCCGTGTTTAATGCAACAATGAAACAATTCCAAAGTAGACTCTGATACCATAATTGCTTTTTCCTTTCTGCGAGCGCTGTGCTGTGGTTTTGTGCTTTGTTGGGAGCTGACTGTGTGCTTATGTTAACACAGATGTCTATGACATTTTGCTGCCTGGGCAGTTTTACAATGAGGAAAAAAAAAATCAATAAGCAATTATGCTGTGCGGTAGCAATTAGAATGGATTTTGGTTGGTGGCTGCAAAGCCCTCCCCGAGCCCACAGTTAGAGCTGGTGCTGCCATCTGAACCTGGACACCCAGCAAAGCCATGGGCTGCACCCCAGCGCTCTGACCCAGCTGTCCCTTAGAGCCCACAGCAGAACAGCTCAGCTCAGGAGGGCTGTTGGTGCGAGGAATGCCGAGTCCTATCAACTACCAATTCTTAACCTGCCTTAAAGGATGGGAAGAAAAGAACAAATCCTTGGGGTCCCTCATATGGGACTGGGAGGGGTTGCCAGCAGCGCTGTGCGGGCTGTGTCCCTGCCCGGCTCCGGGCTCAGCCGGGGCCCTGATGCCACCTGCTGGGGGAACCTTGTAGGGCCGCTCCGTGCTCCCACCGGAGCTCCGTGAGCGCCTCTATGGGCTCAGCACGAGCGCAGGCAGGAGGCTGATAGAGCCCTGATAGCTTCACGTTTGGGGCACGAAGAGCAGCGAGTGGCATCGTTCTAACCTGAGGACGACTTCGCACGCGTTTCAGATGGGATAATCAAACCATCAGAGCAACTTGGGGATAAACAACTCACCCTGCAGAGCTCAATGGAGGACAGACAGCTTTGCGAGCCAGCATGCCCTGACTCAGAGCTGCAGGTCGCGTAGGTGAGCTTTGCTGACCCCCAGCATAAAAACTGAATTGACAAAGTCTTCTGCCTTTTGTTATTCTGTCAGATTCCACATTGCTGTGTGGGAGCCCTTCAGCATCCATGCCTTAACATAGGCACATGGTTTGCTTCCTGTAGACAAGCAGCTTGTTTTGCATCCAGTCCACTGGAACTGCATACAGGGCCACTCTCTGCTTTAAGTCACTGGGACACATGCAATACTTTGCTGACTTTGTTGAGGCACAGATAGGCTAATCTACCAGGGCTTCCACTGTGACAGCGTATTACAGTGCCTAAACCTGGATAAGCCAAGCCACAGTGAGTGTTTTTATAGCACTAAGCTTTCTTTCCACATCAGCATAATTAAAGCAGCAGCACGCATAAGGGCAAAGCTGCTGTGAGCGCTGCCATGGAGTCTTCTTGCTGCTGCTTGAATCGATGTCCTCCAGTTGGAAAAGGGATTTGTTACTGAGATGAAGAATGGTGTTATTTCCCATCTGTTACACCAAACAGACCTTCACCTTCTGACATTAAACACTATTTCCACTGGCAATGCCAACCCATGCAGCACGGCAGAAGGGCTGCACCCAAAGACATCAAGCAGTAATTAAATAATCTTTATTTTATAAAACATCATACAAAGCATCTACACCATTCACTGGTGGAACATTAGTTGCTATTACACAGTAATTCAAACACAAGTTATTATTTCACGCTAGTTCTGCAGCTCCCTTTGCAGATTGACCTGAGGACAGATCCCACTGTGTGCTCCACAGCTTTGTACTCCTTCCTTGGGTCTGGGATTCCATGCTGGAGCCCAGAAGGCAGACAACAAGCCTTGCTTTGTAACATCACACCCTAACCAGCATGTTTTGGAGGTGTATTCTGGACACTCTCTAATCACATATCCCAGGAAATACTCTTGTCAAAACTGATAGCTACTGTCCTGGGGAAAAACATCAATGCTCATTCTAAGTGAGCTGCATTTTCCAGTCATCTTCCCAGCACCTACACTCCTCCACAATCTTTAAGTGCCAGACTCTGGGTTCAGATGCACTGGCCTGAATCTGGAACAACCAATAGTACAGCAAAGAGGAGCTGCCATTCTGCAGACACAGCAGCGCCCACGTCAGGGGTCCACCCAAAAACCACTTACTGCAAGTCCTGATGGGGTTCCTCCTATGGAGAACACTGCTCACCCAGAGGGCTAAAGGCAGGATTTGGAAAGCATGGCTGGAGCTTTAACAGTCGGGGTGAAGAGGAGTGGAAAAAGTCCCCAAAGTGCTTCACATCAGGGGTGGCAACTTTTGGGTTCAGAGCACCGAGTCCTGCAAGGCGCTCACACTGAGCAGAGCTGCTGACTCAATTGGAAAATCAGTTATCCATGTGTTAGCAAATAAGTTACAGAATGGAATTAGAAAGGGTAGCTCAACCACCACCATCACTTCTCCCAAAGGAAACACGGGGATAAAGAACAAAGTGGAGACAACCATCGCTTTGTGTTTCCATAGCACCTCTCGAGTAAAGGTCTGAAAGTGCATAACAGATGGACCAGCTCCATCACCCCCCTTCACAGATGGGGAAATGAGGCACTGGGTTAGGAAGTTCAGGGACTTGCCCAAGGTCACCCAACAGGCTGGAAGATGAGCCAGGAATCCCAGCACCCACAAAACACTCCAACATGCTTCTTCCTAGCAGGACAAAGAGTCATCTAGCTGCCTAGACTGTACAGAACACAGAACACCAATATCTAGTGCTGTTTTCCCATCTCTTCTGAGATCACACCAGCACCGAAGGAGGAAGCTGCTAGCACTGCTATGTACACCTGCACTGCTGGACCAGTTGTGTTTAGGAGGTAAAAGTAGCCCTTCTTTCACTCGTGTAATTTAGGGTGTGCTTACGTACACGCTGAGCCAGCCTCTGCCAGGCCAAGCGCTGCGGATCCCATGAACCCATGGCATAGCTCCATGGATTTCAGTGGAGTTATGCCAGGAATAAGTTTGGCTCCAGAACTGCTAACGTGTGCTGGCTCCTCTCCCGACAGCGGCATCTCAGGCACGATCCCCTCCTTGCCAGCCTGTGAGCCTGAGGAAGTCCTTACTCAGCATCAGTGGCTTTTCAGATGTCCGTTCGTTCTCAAGCTCAGCTCCTTGCCCCTCTGGCTTCTCCACGCATGGTATTTCTTCATGCTCTTCCTCCGGGCGAAGCGGCAGATGCTGACCATGAAGACCCAGGAGACAGCGTACATGACGACACCTCCCAGCTTGATGTACCAGCGGGGCTTGGGTGAGGTCAGCTCGCAGTACATCAGCCAGGCCCCCACCCCGATCCGCACCCCAGTGAACAGCACCACGAAGAAGAAGTCCACCACGTCCCCCGTGAGGCTGTGGTAGCAGCCCATCTCCTTGAGGAACCAGCGAGCTTGCAGCAGTGGGTTGGTGATCTCGCTGCCAAAGATGACAGCGTTGACCTCGGCGGCCGACTCACCGAGCGCCAGCGATGCGGCGATGCCCACAATGCTCACCAGGTGATGGGCCAGCATCAGGGCACCCTCCGTCTGGAAGTACACGCACCAGCAGAGGTCGAAGAGGAAGTAACCCAGGCTCAGGCACAACCCGTGGACCTGCAGGGTTGTGTTTGGGGATCCTGCAACAAAGACATCGGGCAGAGCGTCAGGGCACAGAGGTGATGGATCAGCAGGAGGGGGATTCGCCCTCGGCACGGCTGGACACAGCTCTGCCACAATCCTGCCGTTGTTAGTGACAGCTGCACACGTGTAATGGCCACCCAGTGCGACCTTGCACTCTGCAGCTGGGGAGGGCACGAAAGCAGCAAAACACAGCACCACTCTCCCCATTTCCTTAGCACTTTCAGTAATAAACATCATCAGATATCCTTGCAAACATTTTTCAAATGCGTCCACGCTGTATCCCAGCATCCACACTGGGGTGACAGGAAAATCCCACCGCATGCCATCACCCACGTGGGGGGGACTCAGCACCACAACTCTTGCCACTCACCCGGGTGACTCAGAGGCCAGGGGCCGTCGATGAAGCCTATGTAAGCAGAGAGACACGTAGCGAGGATGCCGTGGGTCAGCGTGACCAGCCTGCAGCTCCACTCATAGCTCCGGTGCTTGTAACGATGGCAGAACCACGTGTAGAGGGAAAGCCAGGCCAGCAGGCTGCAGGCTGCCCGCAGGGGCAGAGCGAGCAGCATCCTGCCACAGGGATGGAAGAACAAGAGGCATCAGGAGCTCTAAAATTTGATCATGTCAGCACAACCCCACAATGCTGGACCTGCTGGGATAAGCTGATGCTCATCCCACTGCGTGAGGGACAGGCAGAGGAGCTCCACGTGTAGATCCATGCTACTCCTGCCCCTTCCCTTCCCACTTAGCCTGCCCTTCAACCTGCCTGTGTTGCCCCACCAGATACGCTCAGTCGTGCTGTTTGCTACCTGGGTTCCTCCTCTCCTGAAACAAAATCCAAGAAAACCCCCACACCACATGGCCCCCTGCTAGGCCCAATGCTAACCAGTCTCCCCACCCCGCTGCCCCCTCCACAGGGATGCACAGAAGTGGTGAAAAGAGGAGTGAGCTCTCCCACCTGTGGGTGGCACCAAGACCTTCAAACCTGTGAGATGCCAAAGGATTAGCAGCGATGCCCACACACCTGCAATCTGAGGGATGCATCGTTATGGCTGAGTGCTCAGAAGGAGCTGAGTCACGGCACCTTTTCCAGCTGTGTCACAGCTGTGTCACCGAGTGCCACCGGTCCGGTTTGCGGTGGGGAACACCGGGAGGAACGCACGTGGTGTGGGGTCGGGGCTGACTCACAGCCGTCCTGCCCGGCCTGTTTTAAGCATCACCAGCACGGCTTGGGCGGGATAAACAAAGCCATTATGTTATAATGGGAGCACGGGGAGATGAAACACGGACACGACAAACCGCTCCGACCGGTGACAGCAGCAGAGCTCGAGGCACCCGGTTCAGGATGGGTGAGGCAGGAGGAATCCTGAGCGATGGAAGGGAAAGGAGCACCAGGAGAGGAGGAGAGAAGCAACCTGTACACATCTCCATACACCCAAAAGGTGGGGGCTTCTTGCAATCACGCCCCAAAACTAAATGTTTGCCCTTAGGATACACGGTATGTATTGCATCTGTGAATTACACCTCCGTAAAGGTCGACATCCTTTAAAAAGCGCAGCAATGCCATTACTGTTATCATCCTCACTATTGCTTTAAAAAGAGGGTTGATGCTATCAGCAGCGCCGCGGGGGGGAGGAAGGAAGGAAAGGAAAAAAGCAGACTCTAGAGCCAATAAACGCGTCTCGATACCCGGAGGAACCCAACGCACAGATGCACAGATGCACACCGAGCAACCGGACCGAGCCCTTCCCGGAGCCCCGCACCCACCTGCAGCCCCGGAGCTGCCGGACTCACCGCTCCGAGCCCCGCCGCCGCAATGGGGCCGTCGGGAAGAGGAAACGGCAGCGGCGGGCGGGGGGCACCTGGCGGCTGGGGGGAGAGACGGCAGTCGCGGCGGGGGGGGGGGGGGAACGGGGACCGCTGACCCCAGCGGCGGATGGAGGGCCGGCATCCTTGCGACGCGACCTGCGCGCCCGTCGCTCTGACGGATCGCATTTTTCCTCCGCCTTTGCTGGGCCGGCTGCAGCAGCCTCAATAATCACAGAATGGCCGGGGTTGGAAGGGACCTCAAGGATCACGAATCTCCACCCCCCCCGCCACATGCAGGGGATATAAATAATAAATGGGATGGAGCTGTGCTAGCTCGGGGTAAAGAGCAACCTGTTTGCCGAGGTGGGAACAGCAATGATGGTTATAGCACTAAGAAGCCCTGAGACTCTAAACTCAAAGCCTTCAGAGGATCATTTATTGCTAGAAGTCACTTCCAGAGGAGCTGGATGGGTGGTTTTTTTTTTTTCCCTATGGCTCATATGACACAAACAAATGGAAGGCAGTGAGCTGTGAGGTGGCACGTTAGATCTCACCCAATGGATGGCAGCGGCAGTGAGGTGCAGCTCATGCTCTCATTTCCTTCTTTGTGCACAGTCAGCCATCCCAATGGGCTTGCTTTGCCTGCACACAAACAGCACTCAGCAAAACAACCTGGGACAGAAACCTCTGCTGACGGTCATTTGCACAGCAGCGGTCACTTTCTGTGATGATAAATCCCCCTACAGGTGTTTAACAGAAAAATTAGGGGCCAGCATTAAGAAAATCACATCCATTCCAAGGTCAGCAAGTAAGAAATGCAATGGGATGGTGGGGGTGGAGCCAGATGCTCTTCCAGCATCACAGCAGAGGTTTAACACTAAAACCATGCCTGAGCTGAGACACAGCCATGACCACCTGAGGGCACATTACTTCCCACCTCACAGAGCCACTGCAGCCAGCTGTTCTGCATGGAAAAACTGGGGTACAGCAGGGTTCCAACCACCAGACCAGGCTGCCCCATCCAGCCCAGCCTCATTAGCTCCAGCTGCCTCCTTCAGTCCCAGAACAAAAGAATGTTACAGCAACTGTTCCCTTTTAAAATGAGAATGCAACTTTATTGGAAGTCTGATCACTCCGGGGAGCTCTCACAGCAGCCCATGACCCCAAAGTGCCCTCCTCCCAGGCTCCATCTGCCCAACCCCATGGACCTGCTGCGTGCCTGGGGTCTGCATGGCACCCGAAGGTCACACCTAACATTCAGTTCATTCATGCTATTAGCTTTTATCTCTCCAGACACCTTGCAGCCCAGCTATCAGTGCTGAGCAGAGCCCAGCTAGCAAGATAAGGGCAGAGAGCTGCTCCTTTCCTGCACCCCACAGCAGTGACACGTGTGACAAAGGCCACCAGGAGCTGCAGGGGCTCTCGAGCTCCAGCAGGATGCTGCTACACAAGTCGAGGGAAATTCACATTACAACCCCAGGGGAAAGTCAGAACACGATTCTGAGAGGTAAAGAAGAGAACTGATCCATGTGCTGAGAACTGCATGGAGTGATGTCACACTGAGATCCACCTCAACATCACTGTCACCCCTGGAAATAAGCACCAGACTCCTGTCAGCCTTGCATTCCGCATTCCTGGCCTGCAGCAAGACAGACAAAGCATCCAGAGAAGGTTCTGCTCTGTCAGCCCTCACACACACAGCACCTGAGTTTCTGAAATCAGTGCAAGGCGAGGTGATGCGCTCCATGAGGAGGCGTTTGGCACAAGTCTGGTTCCAGACTCCTGTTTGCAAGGAACAGAGGTGTGCACTGTCCAACCAGTGGAGTCACACTGCTCTGAGATCACTATCTCCTTGAATGCAAGTATTAAAAAGAAGGAAATGTATTGCTAAAAACAATGAGGTAGAACATTGCCTCACCCTCACGAACCACAGCACCATTACTTCACACCAAGAACAACCCCACCGTCCCCTTATGGGCACTTCAGCCTTGTTCACAAGCTCTCATTCGAGCACTTGGTCCAATGTTTTGTCCCATTTGAAGAGAGAACAACACTGAGTACATCCTGGCTGGGTCACACCTGTACCTGGCTCCACTGGGGAGAGGGTGAGATGTTCCAGATCAGGTATTCCAACTGCACTGCGAGATAACACTGCCTCCAACACAATCATAGATAAGTCAGTCTTTGCACTGTGGATGTGTCTGGCACAGCCCCACTGCAGGCTGTGCATTATGGGCTGGAAGAGGAAGCAGCCCAGCAGACACACCATGTTCCTTGCGTTCCCACTGAAATCCCTATTTAGTCAGCTTTCCCACGTGTTGAGTGACCATCCATCTCCCCCAGGGCTTGTAGAGAGCTGCCAGTGCCAGGATGTCATTTCCACACCACTTTTAGGAGCTCTTGTCACGGTTACAGGCTCCAGCAGCCAGGGTCCCATCCACAGTCACTGTCAGTGAGCTGCCAAGTGCCCATTTGTTTTCACAGGTGCATCCACACTCCTCAGGCGCGTCCAGGAATGGTACTTTTTCAACATCTTCCTCCTTACGAAGCGGCAGATCTCAACCATGAACCCCAAGGACACGACGTACATGGCCAGGCCTCCCCCTTTGAGGATCCAGTTGGGATCTGGGGCCGTCACCATGGCATACATGATCAGAGCTCCTCCGCCAATGCGCAGCACCAGGAAGAGGAGCACGAAGCAGAAATCCACCACCTCCCCCAGGAAGGAGTGGTAGAGGCCCATCTCCCTCAGGAACCAGCGGGTCTGCAGCAGTGGGTTGGTGATCTCACTGACAAACACCACTGCATTGACCTCGGTGGCAGACTTGCCCAAGCCCAGCACCAGCACCATGCCGCAGATGCTCAGCGTGTGATGGAGCAGCATCAGGTCTCCCTCTGTCTGGAAATAGAAGCACCAGAGCAGGTCGAAGATGAAGTAACCCAGCGTCAGGGAAAGCACGTGGACCTGGAGAGTGGTGTTTGGTGAGCCTGAAAGGAAGAAGGATGCATTAACATAGGGCAAGATAATCAAGATATTCTTCTAGAACACTGAGCAACACAGGTTGGAGCTTTGCTCTTTGCTGTCCAAGCTTATCCTATGGGACCTCTGGGTACCAGGATGCACAGCTCTGCTCTCCCACAGCCCACACTACATTTCTCCTTTCCTCTTCACCCTTTTAGAAAGGAGGGTGGGAGTGCCTGACCCCACCAGCAGAACTATTTGAGATTTAGTGATAGAAAAGCACAAACAGAAGCCCACGCTCTGGTGCCAGCAGTTATTATGCCCTTCCAGATGCAAACAGCATCGAGCCTGTTCTCCACACTGCCACATCTGACAGCAGCAGAGCAATGAAATTCAACCTGAGAACCCTCAGCAGATGCCTGGGTAGGACAACAAAAGGTAGGAGATGCTGAGGAAGAAGCAAGGAGCTGGACTGAGCCTTGCCACGCTCCCAAAACACACATATGAGAGGACAGACAGCAAAAGCAGTTGGATCTCCACCCATAGGATGGTGTGAGGACGTGTCAGGGTGAGGCCCCCCACACACCTGCATGGCTCAGAGGCCAGGGGCCGTCCCAGAGGGCGATGTACCCGGACAGGCAGGTGGCGATGGCCCCGTGCAGCAGGGTGACCAGGCGGCAGCTCCACTCGGGGGAACGATGCCTGTTCCAGAGGCAGAAAGCAGCGTAGAGGCACAGCCAGGCCAGGAGGCTGCCGAGCACCTCGAGGACGATGGGGAGCATCCTATTGAACGGAGAGAAAGGGAGCTATGAACGGGGGGGATGCTCACCTAACCCGCGTCCACGAAAGCTCCCAAACGCGCTTCGCACCCTCCCCACGAGCACCGAACGCAGCCGGTTCCTCTCAGCACCGCTTCCCCGTACGCCCTTCCTCCTTCCCCCGCCCTAAACCGCGTGGCAACGAACCCGATCACCGCACCCCCGCCCCATCCAGCCCTAAAATACCCCAGGGATGGAGGTGGTATCCGGGACTTGACAGACCCCCCCCCCACCTCTCCTCCTCACCGCCACTGCTCACCCGGAGCTGCCGTTCCTCCCTCGCGGCTCTGCGGGAGCGGCTCAGCCCGGAGAGGCGGTGCGGATCGTTCCGGCTGCTTTTATCCTATCCTTTACCCTCCTCCCTCTGCCCGCCCATCTCCTGCCCTCCGCTCACCCCATAGGGACGGAAAACACGCTTTTTTTTTTTTTTTTTTTTTTTTTTTTTTTTTCGGAGCGTTCCGGAGTTCTCTGTCTGGTTTTGCACGCGATTGTGGAGCTGTTGTTCCGATGGGAGAAAGGGATGAAAATAGGGGCTGGGGAGCGGGGATGGATGAGCTGGAGGTGTCAGGAACACGCCGAACAGGAAGAGTGAACCAGAACAGAGGTGAGTAACCAGGAAGGGCCACGCTGCTCCCAAACCCTCGGAGTCAGCGCCGTGTTGGTTCTGGTTTCGTTCAATCCGTCTGAAGGGTGCCCCACATCCCCAACAACCCCAAACCCTTCCTACACCCACAGGGCTCCATGCAGGTGGTGGCAGCAAGCACTTAAATCTTATGAGTGTCCTCATCTCAGGGTGATTTTGGAAGGAGTCCCATTGCAGCTCAGGCTCCAGATCCTGCTGCCCAGAAACAACCAAATCCATAACTTGAGCCTGAATTTCGGCCTGCAGGTGCAGGAGTGCTGGGTGCTTCATTACCACCACCAGGAAGGTGAGCCCCAGGGCTGTGAGCATCAGGGATGGACCTGGAGGGCACATTGAGACACTTCAGGATGCTCCATGATTGCCCTCAGGTCACAGAGAGCATTGGGGAGGGCGAGGAGCAGAGCCCTGCTGCTCCAGACTGAGTTCACTCTGTTCAAAGAAATCAATAGCAAAAAAAAAAACCCAATTCCTGGCCCTGCCTCGACCAGGCAGAGCTCAATCCCATGGGTGGATCAGGTCACAGCCTGCTGTCTCTGTGTTCACATTGTTCAGCCCTCATTGCTGCAGTGGTCATGTGGGAACGTCACCTGTGATGCTGTAACATCTGCTGTGTGCATCTGAGCACCTGGATGGGCTCCCTCCCCATTCTGAGGATGCCGTTTGAGTTCTGGCTTGAGGAGAGCAAAGCTCAGCTCCCAGAGCAATGCCGTGTCCTCAACCTGACTGTGGGGCTACCTGGGATCAGCTCCTTTCTCCAGCAAGCTTGTGAATGGCCATTCTGCAGGAGGGAGGTGAACAGGGTCGCATCCCTGATGCTCAGCAGCAATAGGATGGGACCCAGAGGCGTTTCAGACAGGAATGCACTGACAGCTGAGGTCTGCATGGGCAACAGGTTGGGTTGTCCTGTAGATTATGGCGGTTTTCATTGCCACCACGAGCAGTTGTTCCCTGCACTGCTGTTTTATGGCTTTGGGAGGCTTGAAAAGCAGTCATTTCCTGCCAGGTATGGTAACACACTCACTTGTTGGCTTGAAAACCTCCAAGACCCTTTTACCAAGGGTTGAAGTGTGCTGTCAGCTGACCCTGAACCCAACAGTGCTTAGAGCTCAGCTACAGGGTTAGCATAGGGCTGCCTGTTTAAGTGTATAGGATGGGGTTATGAGGGCAATCAGAACTCTCTCTCCTGAGCTCCTATCTACGAGATAAGGTGAGGCTTTCATAGCACTAATGAGCTGGAAATGGGAGTTTTTGTAACATTGCTATAACCGATGCCCCCTGTGGTGGGAGCACAATGCAGTGCCTCATTTACCACTTGTGAGCTGTTGTGTTTTACACGAGCTGAAGGCCAGGAGAAGGGAAGGGAAGGATTACCATCGCCATCACCTGATGGGGATTAAGTGATTTGTCCGAGGTCATGCAGGAAGTTGAGAGCGGCATCACACACATCTCAATGCATTCATCCTGCATGTTATCCCAGAAACATTTCCAACACCCAGGGTTAAAAAAAAAAATACATCAGCTTGGAGCCAGTGGTCACCGCCATCCCCATGCATGGGGCTGTGCACAGTGCTGGGGGGAGGCAGTGCCCTCGGAATGGCCATGCAGAGGTTGGCTGAGTGCTTCCCATCCGCATTTTTACTTTCCCGGCAGGAAATGATTCGTTTCTTCTTCTTTTAAATCACAAAGAAAGTTTTCGTTTCGACGTTTCGACTGATTTAATATTTAAAAGGAAGTATTTTCTATTTTTTTTTTCCCAAAAAAAACCCCCAACAACCCCCCCCCCCCCAAAAAAAAAAGTTACCTTATCATTTTCACTTCTCTCTCATTACAATCAGTGCCTGTCCCTCTCCCATACACCTCATGTGAAGCTACAGATGCAGTTCTATACACAACACGGGGCTCGGTGCATTGTGTGAAGGAGCTCAGAGCCCCGTGCAGCCCGCAGATCCCTATGGCAAATCACCTCATCACACAGCACTGATGGAGCAGGATAAGAAACAACTGAATCGAATACATTTGTCCCCAAAAGGAAGTGTCAAAGGAGAGATTTTACTTAGGGAAAAAAACAAACAAACAAAAAGCTCACATTTACCTAAAAAGAGCCAACAAAAAAAAAACAAAAAAAAAAACAAAAAACCAAAAAACAACAGAGCTACTACTCAAAAAATGTCTATTTACAACCTGTGAGCCAAACACCCATTTACTCTAATTTCACTGCCTTGTGCCCATTGAGAACCCAACCAGGAATCTGCATCGCTCCGATCTACTTAACAGCATTAAATATTTATGTGAGGAGAGCTGTGACACGACCACGATCTCCCCAGCAATATGGAAGGTGACATTTGCCACCCTTTGGCATCTCTTGCACCCAACTCCCTCCGGTCTCACAGCTGAGCAGTGCAACCTCCTGCAAGGAGGAAGGAGGGCAGAGAATAGCACAGCTCCATCCTCTACAGCGTGGGGCAACCAGCACATTGCACCACTGCTCCGGAGGTTTGGTATCAGACAAAGCCCAATGGATGAACAACAGAAAGAAGGGATGGCCAACACTCGTCTTT